TGCAAATATTTTCAGGAAGTTCCATCCTCTTCAGTCAGCTAGTCAGTCTAAGGAAGAGTTTAGCTGTGACTAGTGCTATTTGCATCCATTTTGTAGGATTTGGGGGGAGTTAAATCACCTGCCATAAACTTCGATGGTCACTTATGTACATGAAATTATTGTCTTACATTAAATCTTGAATTCTTCTCTCTGAAAATACTTTGGGCTCGATCTTTCAAATACTTAAATTAAGCACATGCTAAGTCACATTGGAGTAAGTGAAACTACTTGCATGCTCTACAGCCAAATATATGTGTAAGTATTTGCAGATTCAATGCCATAGAGTATTGGGGGACAGAATTTCCAGGCAATATTTTCACTGTTTCCCTTAAAAGCTGACAAGCCAGTTTATAGGTTAATCTTCCTTGTAAAATACAAATTATGAGAAATAATTCCATACCCTTTACTGTCTTTTCTAGCATGGTTTATTATCGGCACTCTTGGAGCCTTTTGCTTTATCCTAATCCAGCTGGTGCTGCTTGTGGACTTTGCTCATTCTTGGAATGAGTCCTGGGTTGAGCGAATGGAGGAGGGTAACTCCAGATGTTGGTATGTGGGTAGGTATCTAAATAGGAGAATGCAAAGCTTAACTAGAAAAAAATCAATGTATTTTGTGTGCAAGTACAAAAATAAGTGTTAGATTCCTGCAGCCCTGCCACTGTGTAGATCAGGCATAGGCAAGAGCCTGTCAGCAGGCTGGATTTGGCCTGCCTAGCTCTTTTATCTGGCCTATGTGGCTTGCAAACAGGGAGTTTTGAGAGGGAGTTCTCCAGGTAAAGGAGGAGTAAATACAGGACTCTTGAGGTAAGTGGCTGTCTGTAGTGTGTGTGTGAGGGGGTGGGGTTACTTGCTGTGTGCTGAGCTTGTGTTTGTCTGGTTGGTTGGTTGGTTAATTTGTTTGAAGGAGCGTGTGCTGTGGCTGGCAGCTGGAAGCTCTGAGCTTCTAAAAGTTTGAAATCTAGAAGCCTCTGTTAATTGGCTGAGCCTTAGTCAGGGTGGGGCTACCAGGGCTTTATAAAGCTGTGAGTCAGCGACTAGGAGCAGCAAACAGGGAGTTTTGAGAGGGGAGTGGGAAGGGGCCAAGGTGCTTTTGCTAGTCTTTTCTACTTTAGTTTAAAGGTTTTATTAAAAACTTCCTGTTTTAACTAGAAACCTTATCAGTCAAACTCATTCATAGGAAAGAATGCAGACAGAGAAGCCCAGCAGCAGACTAGGGGCTATCCTGTTCATTGCGTTGAGTGTAACATGTATGATTGCCTGCCCTGTGAGAGGGTGGCATATGTGTTCACCCATTGCAAGGAGCGCCTAACCCTCAGAGACCAAGTTCGAGCTTTGGAGGCCAGGTGGCAGAACTGGAGGAGCTAAGGGAGTCGGAGAGCTATGTTGATGAGACTTTCCAGGACACTGTAGTACTGTCCCACCTCCAGTCTGAGCACCAGTGCTCTTAAGGAGGATGAAAGTCGCAGGGGAACAGAGCATTCAATAGGAGCAGAGGAAAACCATCCCATAGTTGGGACCCTCCTTCCAAAGGATGATACTTTATCCTCTCGAACTGAGGATACCTCTGAGGGGGAGAGAACGCCAGTTGTTAGGAAGAGGCAGGTGTTAGTAGTGAGCGATTTGATCATTAGAAACATAGATAGTTGGGTTTGTGATGACTGGGAGAACCATATGGTCACTTGCCTGCCTGGTGTGAAGGTTGCATATCTCTCCAGGCATCTAGATAGACTTATGTGTAGTGCTGGGGAGGAGCTGGTGGTCGGGGTACATGTAGGAGAGATGTCCTGGAGGCCAAATTTAGGTTGCTAGGAAAGAGACTGAAATCCAGTCCAGGACCTCTATGGTGGCATTCTTGAAAATGCTTCCAGTTCCACATGCAGAACCAGGTAGGCAGGCAGAGCTTCAGTGTCTCAATGCGTGGATGACACGATGGTGTAGGGAGGAGGGGTTTCAATTTATTAGGAACTGGGGACCCTTTTGGGAGAAGGGGAGCCTATACAGGAAGGATGGGCTCCATCTAAAGCAGGGTGGATCATACTGCTGACACTAAACATTAAAAAGGCCGTAGAGCAGTTTTTAAACTAAGAGATGGGGGGAAAGCTGATTGGTGTGGAGAAGCACATAAATTGGATGGAGACGTCTCTTAGAGGAGAATCCATTGATAGAGATTCTCTAGGCTGTAGTCAGAAAGAGAGGAGTGGAGAGGACAAACCATGGGCCAGAGCAGACAAACAACCGCATATAAAGGAATACAATGCATCAGGGAAGGGCAGACAAATAAACACTGGCAATTTTTTAAAGTGCTCCTACACAAATGCTAGGTGTTTGACTAATAAGATGGGTGAACTAGAGTACCTCATATTAAAGGAGGAGATTGACATAATAGTCACTGAACCTTGATTGAATGAGGAAAATCTGTGGGCCATAATCATACTGGGATATAAAATATATCGGAAGGATAGAGCAGGCTGGGTGAGTGGCAGAGTGGCACTGTATGTGAAAGATAACGTAGAATCAAATGAAATAAAAATCTTAAATGAATCAATATGTTCAGTAGAATCGCTATGGATAGTAATTCTGTGCTCCAATAATAAGAATTTAGCAGTAGGGATATATTATCGACCACCTGACCAGGACAGTAATACTGACATTGAAATGCTGAGGGAGATTAGAGAGGCTACCAAAATAAAAAGCTCTATAATAACGGGGGATTTTAATTATCCCCATATTGACTGGGTACATGTCACCTCAGGAAGAAAAGCAGAGATAAAATTTCTCAATGGCTTAAATGACTGTTTCTTGGAGCAGCTAGTACAGGAACCCACAAGGGGAGAGGCAATTCTCGATTTAGTCCTGTGTGTAGCGCAGGATCAGGTCCAGGAGAGAACCATTACAGGACAGTTTGGGAATAGTGACCATAATATAATAACATTTAACATTCCTGTGGAGGGAAGAACACCTCAGCAGTCTAGCACTCTGGTATTTAATTTCAAACAGGAGAATTACACAAAAATGAGGAGGTTAGTTAAACAGAAATTAAAAGGCACAGTGACTAGAGCCAAATCCATACAAGCTGCATGGAAACTTTTTAAAGACACCATAATAGATACCCAACTTAAATGTATACCCCAAATTAAAAAACATAGTAAGAGACCTAAAAAAGAGTCATCGGGGCTTAACCACAATGTAAAAGGAGCAGTGAGGGACAAAAAGACATCTTTTAAGAAGTGGAAGTCCAATCCTAGTGAGATAAATAGAAAGGAACATAAACGCTGTCAAATCAAGTGTAAAATGTAATAAGAAAAGCAAAAAAAGATTTTGAGGAACAGCTAGCCAAAAACTCAAAAATCAATAGAAAAATGTTTAAGTACATTAGAAGCAAGAGGCCTGCTAAAAAACCAGTGGGTCCCCTATACGATCGAGATATAAAAGGAGCAATCAAGGACGATAAAGCCATTGTGGAGAAACTAAATGATTTCTTTGCTTCAGTCTTCAGGGCTGAGGACGTTAGGGAGATTCCCAAATCTCAACCGTCCTTTGTGGGTGATGAATCTGAGGAGCTGTCCTGGATTGAAGTGTCATTAGAGGAGGTTTTGGAACAAATAGAAAAACTTAACGTTAACAAATCACTGGGACCGGATGACATTCATCCAAGGGTTCTAAAAGAACTCAAATAGGAAATTGCTGAACTATTATCTGTGGTTTGTAACTTATCCTTTAAATTGGTTTCCGTACCTAATGACTGGAAGATAGCTAACGTGACACCAATATTTAAAAAGGGCTCTAGAGACAATCCTGGCAATTATAGACTGGTAAGTCTAACTTCAGTACCGGGCAAATTAGTCAAAACAATAGTAAAGAATAAAATTGTCAGGCACATAGAAGAACATAATTTGTTGGACAAAACTCAACATGGTTTCTGTAAAGGGAAATCATGTCTTACTAATCTATTAGAGTTCTTTGAAGGGGTCAACAAACATGCAGACAAAGGGGATCCAGTTGATATAGTATACTTAGATTTTCAGAAAGCCTTTGACAAGGTCCCTCACCAAAGGCTCTTGTGTAAATTACATTGTAATGGGATAAGAGGGAAAGTCCTTTCTTGGACTGAGAACTGGTTAAAAGACAGGAAATAAAGGGTAGGAATAAATGGCAAATTTTCAGAAGAGAGAGGGGTAAATAGTGGTGTCCCCCAAGGGTCAGTTCTGGGACCAATCCTGTTCAACTTATTAATAAACGATCTTGAGAAAGGGGTAAGCTGTGAGGTGGTAAATTTTGTGGATGATACTAAACGTCTTACGATAGTCAAGACAGAAGCAGAGTGAAGAATTTCAAGAAGATCTCACCAAACTGTGTGATTGGACAACAAAATGGCAAATGAAATTTAATGTGGATAAGTGTAAAGTAATGCACATTGGGGGGAAAAATAACCCCAATTATACGTACAGTATGATGGGGGGCTAATTTGGCTACGACAAATATTGGAGTGATCATGGATAGTTCTCTGAAAACTTCCACACCGTGTGAAGCGGCGGTCAAAAAGGCAAATAGGATGTTAGGAATCATTAAGAAAGGGATAGAAAATAAGACACAGAATATCTTACTGCCCCTGTATAAAACTATGGTACTGTGTACTTGAGTACTGTGTACAGATGTGGTCTCCTTACCTCCACAAAAGATATTTTGGCCTTGGAAAGGGTTCAGAAAAGGGCAACTAAAATGATTAGGGGTTTGGAATGGGTCCCATATGAAGAGAGGCTAAAGCGACTGGGACTTTTCAGTTTAGAAAAGAGGAGACTGAGGGGGGGATATGATAAGGTATATATAATCATGAGCGGTATGGAGAGGGTGAATAAAGAAAAGTTACTTATTAGTTCCCATAATAGAAGAACCAGAGGACACCAAATGAAATTAATGGGTAGCAGGTTTAAAACTAATAAAAGAAAGTTGTTCTTCACACAGCATGTAGTCAACCTGTGGAACTCCTTGCCAGAGGGCTGTGAAGGCTAGGACTATAACAGAGTTTAAAGAGAAGCTAGATAATTTCATGGAGGTTAGGTCTATAAAAAGCTATTAGCCAGGGGATAGAAATGGTGTCCCTGGCCTCTGTTTGTCAGAGGCTGGAGATGGATGGCACGAGACAAATCACTTGATCATTGTCTTCAGTCCACCTCCTCTGGGGCACCTGGCACTGGCCACTGTTGGTAGACAGGCTAGTGGGCTAGAAGGACCTTTGGTCTGACCCAGTATGGCCGTTCCTATGTGGCAGTTCCTGGCCCTGCTCCCTAACGTGTTGCCTGGAAGCTGGGACATGAGAGCCCTTTCAACTGCTTCTGTTTAACGGACTCCTGCCTTCTCTGCAGCTGTCAGGCAACAGCCACAGGGAAGATGTGATCCCTTTAAATAGAAACAGCTGAAAGGGCTGGCATGTCCCTGGCTCAGGCAATGTGCTAGCAGCGAGACCAGGAACAGCAAGGCATTTAAATAGCAGGAGTTGAAAGGGCTCGCAGCTCCCTCCCCCTGCTAATGTGTTGCCTGGGGAGCCACAGGGGAGGCGTGAGCCTTTTCAAGTCCTACTCTTTAAAGGCTCTGCCCCTTCCTCCCAAAGTCCTGCCCCTTCCGAGGTGGCTTATAATCACTTCAAAAATTTTTGAAGTGAGCCCCCATTCAAAAATTATTGCCCACCCCTGGTGTAGATGCTGTACTCTGTTCTGCATCCTACAATTGAAACACCATAGTTACCTGAATATATGTACATTCTGGTTCTATTCACATTAGTTAAAATGGGGGAATAGACCTGTCAGTTGCTGATCTTTGTGATAGTTATAAGAAATCATTTTTTTTTTTGGTCTGGTTTGTATAGAGAAGTATAGTGTGAAGACAGGGCTAGTAGCCATTGACTCCATTAATGTACTCAAGCAAGTCAGCTAAGCTCTTAGCTATAATCATCCTGTCTGTATAATGGTGACAGTGCAACTGCACCTCATACTTGTAGGCTGTTGATGTGATTTCAAAATGGCTCCAGTAACAATTACTAATTGTTATGGTAAATACTTTAGCTGAGAACAGTCTGTGACTCCTTATTAGTAATTTGAAATAAGAGCATTATAAAAGGCACCCAGTCTATGTGGAGTAGAGGAAAATCTTGCCTCTAAAATTCAGGTCTGATAAATCCTCCCCCCTCCCCCCCATAGGAAGCCTGGAGAAGTACTTGATTCTACCCTGTGTTTTTTTTTTCTTTTTCAGCTTTACTTTGTTTTACAAGCTTGTTCTACATCTTGTCAATAACGTTTGTTGTGCTCTTCTATGTATTCTACACTAAACCTGATGGTTGTGCTAAGAACAAATTCTTCATCAGCTTTAATATGATCTTGTGCATTGCTGTCTCCATCGTTTCTATCCTTCCAAAAGTTCAGGTACTACAATTTCTATTTTTTGTTAAATCCTTTTGTTCATAGATAGCAACATCTTTACATTTCATTTGAAGTGTAAATTCACTCTTTTTATAACACCACAAATTCAGAAAGAATTGTCACAGGATGAGACCATGCTAATGATTATGTGGCATTATTAGAAATTAAATTTAGCCTAGTGTAGTAGTTCCTGAACTAAGGCCATTAGATGTAGTGACCATCTGCAGAAAGCTGACATGTCATATGATACAATGATAGCTAGAAATCAGCATCAGACACATCAGAAATACAATGCACCAAATTTGTTTTTAGTGTTACTTAGTGAAAGCAGTTGCTGTGCTTGCTTCAGATACTAACTGCAGCTATCGTAGATCAGAGGCAAGGGCACCCAAGACATACTGGGTAAAACTTTCAGCATGACGAAGAGTGACATCAATTGGATTTAGGCTCTTGTGTCATTAAGATGCTTTTGAATAATTTTCATGGAGTACACTCTGACAATTTCTAAGAACCCTTGGCCTTGGTGGCAAACAATGATTATAACTGGGCAACCCTTCACATTTAATGTGGGCTTCCACATGTGTAACTTGAGGGTTGAATTTGGGTGCCAGTAAACAGACAAATACCTTGATAACCTATTTTGATGGCTTTTACACAAAAAACAAAAATGGTTCTGCATCAGGTAGAATTTGATTTTTGAAGACTGCTGGGCATACTGTGGGTCTTGGGCTCTAAAGCTGCCACACTTTACCAGATCTATTTTGAGTCACCGCCTCTGCTAATATACATCAGGGAATTACTAGATATTTCTCAGAAGTTATTTGCTAGACTGGTGGTTTGCAAAACTGATACTGTCTTGTCACAGTTAATAGAGCTGATGATCAATAATGGTGTGTAGAGTGCATGAATTTGGGTCAAGAGGGATGAATAGGTATCCCTGGCTGGCTTATTACAAATTTTCAACCTCCAAAGATCTATTTGGACTACCCGTACAATTCTCACCCCCTGAATTATTTGTTGCTGCTTTTATGGCCCTAAACTGTTACTGCATTTTTTTTCAGTTACTAATTGTAATAGGCAAGATATTTTTTAAGTGTTTAAATTATTATAAGTTAGGCAAATCTACATCAATTAGAATTAGAGCTGGATTTATCTAGAATGTCTCTCTTGACTCTGGAGGGCATTTTGTCTTTAAACAGGAACATCAACCTCGCTCTGGCCTCCTCCAATCTTCCATTATTAGTCTTTATACAATGTATCTCACTTGGTCTGCTATGTCTAATGAGCCAGGTAAGCATGTGTCTGCCTTGGTACTAATGTGTTCTATTTTCAAAACAAAAACATGTTAGTGGAGTTTACTGGTACAGAAGGGTTCTGTCTACACTGGGCCACTTATTCCGGAAAAGCAGCCGCTTTTCCGGAATAACTTGCCAGCTGTCTACACTGTCCGCTTGCTTTTCCAGAAAAGCAATGACGATCTACTGTAAAATTGTCGGTGTTTTTCCGGGAAAACTATGCTGCTCCCGTTCAGGCAAAAGTCCTTTTCCGGAAAAACTGTTCCGGAAAAGGGCCAGTGTAGACAGCCAAGTAGACTTTTCCGCAAAAAAGCCCAGATCACGAAAATGACGATCAGGGCTCTTTTCCGGAAAAGCGTGTCTACATTGGCCACGGACGCTTTTCCGGAAAAGCATCCTGCCAATGTAGCCGCTCTTTTTCTGGAAATACTTATAACGGAAAACTGTTTCGTTTTAAGCATTTCCGGAAAAGGGTGCCAGTGTAGACATAGCCAAGCAGTTGTGCTGGGATTGCTGGTCAAGTGATGCATTTGAGTATGCACACATTACATGGATACTCAAGCTATAGAATTGCTACATAGTCACGTGGCATTTTCAGCGGCTTTTTTTTAAATGTTGGATATACAGTAATTCCTAATTTAACACTATAGATATGTTTCAGAAAATGATTGTGTTAAGTGAAAATGTGTTATGCAGGGTTAATTTTCCCATTGAAAATAATGGAAAAGGTGGTGTCTGTTGGGACCGAGACACAAGGTTGGGGGAGAAAGGGGACTGGGTTACAGCAGGAAGGGGAGGTATTTCCCGCTGGGGAAGGGAAGGGGAGGGGGATTGGGTTGGAAGTATGCCCCTGTGACGGGTCTGCCGGGACCCGCACTGGGTCCGGCGAGGGGGGGTTGCTGGGGAATGGCACGGCGAGCAGCAAACCCTCCGCCGATTTTCAGGGAGGGGGGGGAAGCCCCGCGCAGCTGCTGGTGATGGGCTAGCTGGGGAAACCCAGCCGCTGGCCTGTAAGCTGGGGCGGAGGAGAGGGGGCAAGGTGTCTGGTGAGGGGGAGTCAGCAAGAAATGGCACAGCAAGCGGCGAAGCTTCTGCCACTTTGCAGGGAGGCGGGGGAAGCCCTGCGCAGCTGCCAGCAACGGGTTGGCTGGGGAAATCGTGTTATTCCAGGGACGGTCATGTAATTCAAAAAACATTCCCTAAAAAAAAAATCGCGCTATCATGAAAACGTGTTAAGCAGGCACATGTTAAATGAGGAATTACTGTATTGCAGCAATCTATTCTGTAGGCCCTGAAGGCCTGGTTGATTGTCACAAAGTCTGGACTGAAGTTAAATTCTCTTGTCCAGGCCTATATACTGCACTTTGTGCACACCTTTCCAGTCAGCCATGGAACCAAATATTTTGAAATCAAGCAGGGGGCATTGGAACATAGGAAGGATGGTGTCTGTGCAAAGATTTGAGGGAAGGACCTGATTGGTTTTACTCCAATCTAGTCAAGTATAGGTGGGAAAAGACTTTTTCCCCAGTTATGCTACTGGGGAATCAAAGAATAATTGGAGGTCTAGAAGGAACTCTAGACTATAAACCTGGTCTCTAGATGATGACAGAGATGAATTTTGCTAATAATTTTGTACCTGTTTGTCTCTAAACCTCTTTCAGATAGAAGCTGCAACCCAAGTTTGTTGAACATCATCACGCAGATAACTGCACCTACGATAGCTCCAGATAATGCAACTGTTATACCTGCTACTACAGCTCCACCAAAGTCCTTGCAGTGGTGGGATGCACAGAGTATTGTTGGGCTTGCTATCTTTGTTCTTTGTCTCTTGTATTCTAGGTAAGATCTGAGTTACTCAAAGCAGAAACAGGCAACACTTACCTTTTGTTTGTGGATGCTGGGTTTGTGAATGAAATCTACCTAGCTGGCGCACACATTTCTGTCTAGCTTCATGTGGGTAAATAAAAATCTGAAAGACTAGTAAAACTGAGGAGGGTAGAGGTTTTGCTAGCTCTGTTCATAGTTAGTTGAAGTCTTAAGCTTGAATAAGCAATAATAGTATGAAGTGGGGAGAGAGATGTTACTTGGTCAATAGGTAAATAGATGAGGCGTTTCTAAGATGATCTCCAAATCACAATTTAAAAAAAAAATTGGGGGAAGTTGTTTGCCTAGACTGGAAACCCAAACATTGTGCTCTGTGTGGAGCTATTTAAGAACAGGTTAGATAGACATCTGTCAGGGATGGTGTAGACGGAGCTTGGTCCTGCTTTGAGGGCGGGGGGCTGGACTCGATGACCTCTCGAGGTCCCTTCCAGTCCTATAATTCTATGATTTTTAACTTTCTATTTTGGATTATTTTGGAACAAGCTGACTTTCTCGACAAGTGACAATGCCATCCTGGATGATTCTGTGGGAACTGATGGTGCATCTGTGGAAGATGGCAACGCGCGTCGGGTCATGGACAATGAGAAGGGGGGCGTTCAGTATAACTATGCTTTCTTTCACTTCATGTTGCTCCTTGCCTCTCTCTACATCATGATGACTCTCACTAACTGGTACAGGTAGGAACAAGATGAGTTTAACTTTTTTTAAACATAAAAATATATTTACAACGGTGGGTGAAAGTTGTACCTGCTACCTCACTTTGGATGGCTGAT